AAAGGGTGTCTGTGCATGAAGGAGAAAGAGGCTAATTTCCTAGGTTTCTAATAAAGAAAAAAAGAGAAAAACAAAACAGAAATTTCATCAGGTAGCAACTGAGTGACATGCACATGTACCCTTTCAGGAACTGCAGCCTTTATATCCACTGCACAGACCTCTTGTCTCTTGAGTTAATTTTGTGATTCCTGGGTGATGCTTTCATACTTTCTACTGAGTGACACTAACAGACACAGAGATGCACATTTTCCCAGTGGAGTTGCACAAAATGCTTGCTGGCAAATGTGAGGTTTAGGAACTGTGAAGCCTCAAATAAATCTGTTCCATTTTCTCTAAGTGGTACCTGTCTTAGCATATGATGCCACATCTAGCTTCCAAGCCCTTACTGAGCTGAATTTTCTCTAGTTCATATTGGGCTGTATCCTCTTTCACAGAGCCTGGTCTTAGCAAACAGCAGGGGAAACACTGAGTTCATGCAAAGACAGAGAAAGAAAGAGAGAATTCCTGGCCTTGAGAACTGACAGCAGGCAGGAAAACACGACCACTGCAGAAGGAATTTATAAGCATGCAGCTGTCAATTGCCTCAGCTCGTCTGAGCATGGACAAACTCAGGGGCTTTTTGAAAGGCTACAACTAGGAGACAGAAATAGCATGCAACACATCCTTATTCCAGATTTCACTCTCCACCTGTTACATTTTGAGTCTCTACCACACAAGATAGTAATTTTATTGCAACAATTTGTTGTAAGGTTTTATTTTTATTTGCTTGAGATGGGCACTCACTGAGTTTTACCTGAACGTGTTTCTGAGAAACGGATGAGGTATGTTGACTGAGAGTGTCTTTAAAACTTCAGCCTAAGACAGATACCAGGTCTGGAAAATTTTAGCCTGAGTGGTTACACTTTAACAGAATTTTAAGCAACTGGAAATAAAAATTTATTAGGAGGTTTGGAAATTTCAAATTGAGGTGGTGTTGCCACCTCTATTAACAATATATGTGAAAATTCAACAGCTAGCTACAGAAAAGGAAACTCATGTATTAGAGTGTTATTATATTAATATGCATATGGAGAGAGAAAATAAAATGCTTCTTTCTCTATTTTTTTAGTGAGACAGAATCATATGTTAGAATGAAAAACAGGCATATTTAAGAAATTAAATTGAACAGAAATAGGAACAACTCTGGGTTTATACATTCCCTTGACAAATCTCTCGAGTTTTTATGACTGTATAATCCAGCTCCTGTCACAGTTTTTTGCCATGGCATCTTTCAGATGATTGGTTTTGTGCATAGTTATTAGTCTGATGCTGCTAATCTCTCATTTCTGCAGGAATAAACTCAATCACTTCTAGCTGAGTGCTTATAGTTTCTTTTAAAAGAATGTAATTCAGGTGGCCTAATGGGAAAGTGGAAGATACAGATTTAAAGATGATGTTTGATCTTTTGTACATACCAGGTGATCTAGAAACTGGGAAGTATATGGGTAGTATTTTCTAGTTTTATCTGGAAAATGACTAATAATATTCAAGTGCAGTACTTCCTCTTAATTAAGAAAAAGGGATTTCCTTCACCTATATTGGTAGGGTTAAAAGTAGTGCATGTGGGCCAACCCGGTTCCCCATCTGTGGAAAGGGTGTCTTGTCCCCACAGAAGACAGATTTGTATTGCAGAAGGGTTAGCTCCCAATGGAGCTGCTTATTTTTTCCTGTTAATATGTAGAGAAGGATCTAAATGATTTGTGTACACGAGGCATCCAAGTCAGATGGCTACACCTAAAGGAGATGTACTCAGTGGCTGCAATAATTACCCCTCTTCCTGCAGAGATGAAGCTTACATAAACCCAAATATTTTGTTGTCTTCTCAGTGCTCCCATCAACTATTAGCAGCTCAGATTTATTTCATCCTGGCTTAAGAACAAATTCTGAACAGATGTGACAATAGTTAACTTGGTCTCCGACTATGCAGGATCCTGGTGAACACTTATTCTCAACATTTTGTGTTTTTTGTCAGAAGAAGTTCCTGACTTACCTACTAAAATTAGCATAGTTCTACAAAATTTTCTGAACTTGCTTATAGACTTTGTCTGAGGTTTCAGCTAGGAAAAAAGTGATGGGAAGAACACGTGAGTAAAAAGTCCGCCGTTGTGAGTAAAATGCTATTTTTGAGTGTAGACAAGTGAGTATTCCTACTCATTCTAGTCTGTGACCTTTCTTTTTGCTTGTTTCTAGGCTCTGGAACCTAATTCTTCACATTATTTACTGTCAACAGTAAAGAATCACAAGCATTTTTGTCTTTCACCAGAAAAGAAATGGTCCTGCTTTTCTTCTTTTCAAATTCCCTCTATAGACTATTCTTGTTTAGGATACCGTACATCAAAAACCTAAACATCAACCCTTGTTGATACCAATCTTGACATCCAAGCAGTCACACTTTTTTTTTCCCATCATCACTTTCAGATTTTTTCTCAATGTTGAGTAGCAGTGGAGCTTCTACCACAAGAAAGTCGTGATCTCTAGCTGGGACCTCTGGGTTTAGATGTAGTTTGAAAGATTATGGCACCTTTAGACAGAAAGCAGTGTGGCACTACCTCTTGGGAGATTCTTAGTGATTCATTCTTCAAGTTTCCCTCAGTCAGTGTTTTATCCTTCATTCTATAGATTACAAGACACCTGTGACGACCTTCCTTAAATCTCAATTACGCAAGCTCTAACTCCACAGGCTGATGAACAGACATTGTCTCATCTCCCTTCTCACCATGTGACCTCTGAAACACACTGAGAAATCACAGAGTTACAGAATCACAGAATCAACCAGGTTGGAAAAGACCTCTGAGATCGAGTCCAGCCCCTGACCCAAGACCACCCTTTCAAATAGACCATGGCACTAAGTGCCACATCCAGTCTCTTCTTAAACACCTTCAGGGACGGAGCATCCACCACCTCCCTGGACAGTCCATTTTAATGTCTGATTACTCTCTCTGTAAAGAATTTCTTCGTAATATCTAACCTAAACCTCCCCTGGCAGAGCTTAAGATCATACCCTCTTGTCTTGCTGATAGCTGCCTGGCAGAAGAGACCAACTCCCACCTGGCTAAAACCTCCTTTCAGGTAGTTGTAGAGAGTAAGGTCTCCCCTGAGCCTCCTTTTCTCCAGGTTAAACAGCCCCAGCTCTTTCAACCTCTCCTCATAGGACCTGTGCTCCAGTCCCTTCACCAGCCTTGTTGCCCTTCTTTGGACACTCTCCAGAACCTCAAAATCCTTCCTGAACTGAGGGGCCCAGAACTGGACACAGTACTCCAGAACTTGACACTAACTAGTGCCAAGTACAGGGGCAGAATCATTTCTCTGGACCTGTTGGCCATGCTATTCCTGATACAGGCCAGGATGCCATTGGCTTTCTTGGCCACCTGGGCACACTGCTGGCTCATGTTCAGCTTCCTGTTGATTAGAATTCCCAGGATCCTCTCTGCCTGGCTGCTCTCCAGCCACTCTATACCCAGCCTGTAGCATTGCATGGGGTTATTGTGGTCAAAGTGCAGGACCTGGCACTTGGCCTTGTTAAATATCATACCACTGGATTTACCTAACTTATCCAGCCTGTCCAGGTCCCTCTACAGAGCCCTCCTGCCTTCCAGCTGATCGACACTCCCCCCCAACTTAGTGTCATCTGCAAATTTGCTGATGGTGAACTCAATCCCCTCATCTAAATCATCAATAAAGATATTAAAAATAGAACTAGGTCCAACACTAATCCCTGGGGGACACCACTAGTGACCAACTGCCAACTGGATGCAGCTCCGTTCACCACCACTCTCTGGACCCACCCTCCAGCCAGTTCCTAACCCAGCACAGAGTGCCCCTGTCCAAGCCGTGGGCTGCAGCTTTTCCAGGAGTGTGCCATGGGAGATGGTGTCAAAGGCTTTGCTGAAGTCCAAATAGACACATCCACAGCCTTCCCTTCATTCACCAGGCAGGTCACCTGATCATAAAAGGAGATCAGATTGGTCAGACAGGACCTGCCCTTCCTAAACTCGTGTTGTCTGGGTCTGATGCCCTGTCTGTCCTGTAGGTGCTGTGTGATCACACTTAAGATGATCTGTTCTATAATGTTACCAGGCACCAAGGTCAGGCTGATAGACCTGTAGTTTCCTGGGTCTTCCTTCCAGCCCTTCTTGTGGGTGGGCATCACATTAGCCAGCTTCCAGTCATCTGGGACCTACCCCTTGAGCCAGGCCTGGTGATAAATGATAGAGAGCAGCTTGGCGAGCTCTTCTGCCAGTTCCCTTATCACCCAAGGATGGATCCCATCTTGTCCCGTAGACTTGTGAGGATCCAAGTGGCTCAGCAGGTCACTAACTTCTTCCTCCTGGATAACAGTGGGACTATTTGGCTCCCTGTCACTGTCTACCAGCCCAGGAAGCCATTTGTCCTGAGGACAACCTGTCTTCTTGTTGAAAACTGAGGCAAAGAAGCTGTTAAGTACCTCAGCCTCATCCTGGTCTTTGCTAACTATGCTCCCGTCCATGTCCAACAAAGATTGAAGGTTTTCCTTGCCCCTCCTTTTGCTGTTGATGTATTTACAAAAACACTTTTTCTTGTCCTTATCAGAAGTGGACAGATGAAGTTCAAATTGTGCTTTTGCCTTTTTAATTTTCTTTCTACGTGACCTAACTACATTCCTCAACCCTTCATGAGTTGCCTTGCCCTTTTTTCCACAGACTCTCTTTTTTTCCCTAATTTCTTGCAAAATCTCCCTGTTCAGTCAGGCCAGTCGTCTTCCCCACCAGCTTGCCTTTCAGCACATAGGGACAGTCTGCTCCTGCACCTTCAAGATTTCTTTCTTGAAGTATGTCCATTCTTCCTGGACCCCTTTGTTTTTACGGGGTGCTTCCCAAGGTACTCTCCAAATCAGCCTCCTGAACAGGCCAAAGTCTGCCCTCCAGAAGTCCAGGGTAGATGTCTTTCTTCACTTCACCAAGTATTGAAAACTCCATCATTTCGTGGTCACTGTGCCTCAGACAGCCTCTGACCACCACATGTCTGACCAGCCCTTCTCTCTTTGTAAACAGCAGGTCTAAAGCAACCCCAGCCCTGGCAGGTTCATTTATCATCTGCAATAGGAAATTATCCTCCATACACTCTAGGAATCTTCTAGACTGCCTCTTCTCCGCTGTGTGGAGTTCCCAGCAGACATCCGCAAGGTTAAAGTTACCCACAAGAACAAGGGCTGGCGATTTTGAAACCTCTGCCGGTTGCTTGTAGAAAAATTCATCACCCTCATCATCCTGATTGGGTGATCTATAACAGACTCCCACCAGGATGTCAGCCTTGTTGGCCTTCCCTCTGATTCTGACCCATAAGCACTCAACCTTATCGTCACTGGCTTCAAGTTCTACAGAGTCAAGAGAGTCTCTAACATATAGAGCCACTTCTCCACCTCTCCCACCTTGCCTATCTCTTCTCAAGAGCATGTAGCCATCCAGTGCAACATTCCAATCATGCGAGTCATCCCACCACATTTCTGTGATGGTGACTACATTATAGCTTTGCTGCTGCTCGATGGCTTCCAGCTCCTCTTGTTTGTTACCCACACTGCATGCATTGGTGTACATGCACTTCAGCTGGGCTTCTGATTTCACTTCTAACTCTGGCTTTCCACTCTTAGGCTCTTCTCTGAAGAGCCTGGCTTCAATCCCTTCCCCCTTCAAATCAAGTTTAAAGCCCTCTTGATCAGCCCCAACAACTTATACTCTAGAGTTCTTTTGTCCTTGCTAGATAGATGAAGCCCATCCAACTCTAACAGGCTTGGTACCATAAATTTTGACCCATGATCAAAAAAAACCAAATTCTGTTGGTGGCACCAATCCTTTAGCCACCTATTGATAGAATGGGTTTTCCTAGTACTCTATTCATTCATCCCTGCTACTGAAGGAACTGAGGCAAACACTACCTGTGCTGCTGTCCCATCAACTAATTGACCCAAAACCTTAAAGTCTTTTTTAATTGCCCTGGTACCTCTTTTATCGATCTCATCACTGCCAACCTGTATCATCAACAATGGGTAATAATCAGAGGGCTGAATTAACTCCAGGAGTCTGCTGTAACATCCCTCTCACCAGCCCCAGGAAGGCAGCAGACTTCCCTGTGGGGTGGGTCTGGTCGGCATACAGGGCCCTCAGTTCCCCTCAGAAGGGAATCACTGACTACAACTACCCTTCCTTTTTTGTTAACAACTGAGATTGTGATCCGTCTGACAGATGGAGTGCGACCAGAGACTCTCCAGACAGATCTTTTTCTTGAATGTCATCTGCCTGACTCTCTAGGTCCAGAGCTTCATATCTGTTCTTTAAGGACGCGTGGGAAGGTGATGGGGGTCAGGAGGGGATTCTTTTACCTTTATGATCAAGGACCTGTTTCGATTCCCCCCCAGCTACTTGGTCTGTTCCATCTGCCTGATGGCAAGAGGGGTAGGGCTTCTCTGACTCCTCCTGAAGTTCTTTTGGGGTTGAAAGGGTGCGACTCCACCAGTCTATTTCCCTTTCGCTTTCCCCAATACGCCTTTGCCCCTCTACTTCTTCCTTAAGCTCTGCCACTAAACAGAGCAAATCATTCGCCTGATTGCACCATATGCGGGTGTTTTTCGCACTGTCTTCTGATGCTAATGCCAGGTTCCGACACTCTTACAGTCAGTGACCTGGACAGCTGCATCCTTCTTGGGGAGTTCTGTCTGGGTTAGAACACTGCTGCTGGCAGCAGCACCAATGGCTTTTGAACGTTTGGAAATCATTGCTGAATCTATTTGAAGTGGAGAGGAAAAAAAACAAAACAAAACAACCAAACCAAACCAAACCCCCAAAAAACAAATGCACCACCAAACAAAACCACACACACCTACCACACAACCCACCAACAAGAGCCAGGAGAGTGACTATGCCCTTTGTTCCTCAGGAGAAAGGCATTCTCCCAGCTTGTCTTGGGTTTTGCTTGAAATATGGCAGCAAAGAGGGAATGATTTCTTTTCACTTTCTTCTGAGGAGTTATGTAAAAACAGGAAACACTTTTGGGCATAGTTTTCTTAAGATACTTCCCACCTTACCTTCCCTCAAGGATCTCTTTGTCCACTACTTGTCTTCTCATATGTAAAATGAGAAAGAAGGGCTGTCTGTGCCTGATTCATTTTTTGAGGTATCTACCACAGCAGTGTAATAAATAACCATAAAGTTTATGTCCTTAAGATGAGAAATCAATCCACAGAGGCAACTTTTAGATATTTCATCTAGAATAAGAATCCAAGAGGGAGGAAGATTAAGTGAAATGGAGAAGTGAAGAACTTGGCTGTCACCTTGCCTTGTGTTTATTAATTGAATATAATTGCAAGAAGAGGCAGCATTCAGCTTCAGAGTTCTTTCTGAATTGAAAGCAAAGGTGAATTCCCTGATTCACTACAAAAGCTCTGTCCTTTATTTCATTTGGATTATTGATTTCTCTGACATATTTTAAGCATCTCTTTGTAGCTGCTGCTTTTTTCCATCCCAGACTCTGCCTGCCCTCCTCTGGTCTTTCCACACCTTCACAGGCAAATAATTGAAATGCTGAAATATCTGAAAAACAGAAAATGTTGGAAGAAGACAGGAAGAAGATGAGAATAAAAAGGAAACTGGTTAAGGTAGTAATGCTGAATGTAATGCCTGCCTTTATCTTAGTATAACTAATGTGAGAAGTTTCTACAAATTTAGGATCACTGACCTATTGGCTAGGCAGACCTTTTGTCCCCATCTGGTTCAGACACCTCAAAAGTTTCATGACAAATGACTTTGTGTGAGTGAGATGTTTACTTCAGGAAAGAGCAGTGAATGCACACTTCTTGAGTCATGGTAAAGTAGATTTTTAGATTACCTTTATAAATTTTAAGATGCATGTGAAAGTTTAGGATTCAGAGGTTTGTAGAAAAATAAAAATCAAACAACAATTTTTACATGAAATCATGGGAGAGAATTGTTCTTTAATTGTGATGTTTTCTCCTTCTCCCACAAGTTACAGGTAATTTTAAAAATTCTACTGGCAATACACAGAGAAAATATCTTCTCAAGTTTGTCAATACATTTCTTAATTTTTGTTTCTGTTCTTCCTGACCATACAATGTAGCTGAGCAGGTAAAGAGTAAGAGACAAAGAATGAAATGTCCACAACAGTGGACTTCTGCTGGGAAGCTCCTATTTGACTTGTGATGGTAAATGATGTTTCAAAGTAATGCGTGCCTGGAATGGACTGATGTATACAAGAAAAAGACAATGTGTCTTAGTGATTCCTGTTAGTCTTCTTTAAATTTTAAAAGCATTTGCTTAACTTATTCTTTGCATGCTATTCTAAAATATTCACAAGTATCAGTGATGTTGAGTGAGTTTGTACTGAACAGTTGGAAGATCTTTCGTGACTGATCTAATCTGACTCATCGTGTCCTCCTCATAAGTGCAATCACTGCCATTCCCCAGAGATACCCCCTTTCACAGGGAAAAGTGTAAAAGCAGCACTTTGGAAACATTATGCAGGAAGGCTTTGCCATGCATTTAAGTACAGCGCAATGTGGTTGAAACCATTACCCCCTGGATGAAAATACATTCTTATCATAGAACTGTAGAGTGGTTTGTGTTGGAAGGGACCTTAAAGATCATCTGTTTCCAACCATGGTCAGGGACACCTTCCATTAGACCAGGTTCCTCACAGAGCCCCTTCCAACTTGCCCTTAAATGCTCTCAGGGATCTGGACAACCTCTTCTAGTGTCTCACCACCCTCACAGAAAATAATCTCTTCCTTATACCTAATCTAACTCTACCCTCTCCTAAGAGGAGAGGTGCTCCAGCCCTCTCATGATCATAGTCCTCCTCTGGACCCACTCAAGCAATTTCATGACCTTCTTAACATGACACTGAAGTGGTAGCTGGAGGTCAGACTTGAGACTTTACTAGGAAACTGTATTAAGTAATTGAACAGAATCCTAAGTCTGCAGGAGCTGTAATACATTTCATGCCTAGCTGGTGTGTAGACACCTCAGTACTAGGTATTTTCATCTTCAGCAGATTCCCTCTCTGAAGGGCAAATTTAATAAAATGATGTCATATTGCAGCAAAAGTTACCAGTTTTTCCAGTATCCGAAGTTGATAATTTCTTAAATTGCCCTTCAGAAATTTTCCAGGTTGAAAATTTGTCTTAAATCCTTCAACATATTACTCAAGCAGTTTCTCTCATTTAAAAGACTGTGAACTTCCTAACGAAGGCAATTTCTTTGTTTTTCACTTTCACATTTATAATTTCACAGTGGTGTGGTCATGAATTAAACAACTACAAGTCTTTCCAATCTTTTCTGATTAAACTTTGTTATTTTTAGCTGCATATAGAGGTTTGCAACCAGCGTAAATCCTCTTCTAGATGCTGTGTAGGTTACAATGAATGCCAATCTCTAACTAGAAAGGTGGTTTATAATTTAAGACATATTCTGGTGGTGAAGAGCACAAGTAAATTTCCCAATAGGTTGCATGAATCATTAGTTTATACTGTAACATCTTAATTTCACATCAATTAATCATGTGATTATAAGTTTAAGATATTCACAGTGGCATAAGGTTTTGAGAAAGATGAGTAATCAAACTGTTTTGAAAAGCAGCTGTTTTTTCACAGCTGACAGGAACTAGTACTGTCACTCTATGTGACAGGGATCACAAAAATTTCTGCTATCATAAAACAAGAAAAAACCCTCTGTATTTTCAAACCCATCTCATGTCCATTGAACTGACTACTGTATTGGTGAGCTTCTGCAGTCTGTCTTCTCAGTTAATTCACTAAAAATAATGAAAAAGAAAAGAAATAGGCATGGCGGGGAGAAAACAGTGGAGGAAATCAGAAAAAGTGTTTTTTCCCATTGCAGATTTTTTCAGTTCGTTATCAAAGGCCTCCATTAAGCTGAAATAAATCACTACTTTGTACTTGTATCTTCTCTCTGTCTACAAGTAAGTGAGAAGGAAGTACAGTATGCAGCTGAAAAAACAGGGAAAACTTGTATAGGTAAAAACATACCTAAAACTTGTTCAGAAACGTAACTGAGACTTATTCCCTGTGTGCTTCTGGCTGATATTGAAGCCACTGGGAGTTACTGTTGCATGAGGCCTGCAGAATTAGGCTATTAGAATCATAGAATCATGGAATGATTTGGGTTGGAAGGGACCTTAAAGACCATGTAGTTCCAACACCCTGCCATGGGCAGGGACACCTCTCACTAGAAAATTAGCAAATCCTTCTTACTGTAATGGACATGGACATTAGGAAAAAAGTTCATATACTAGATTAACTATACTTTCTGCAACTTCTTGCCTGTTTCACTAAAAGAGAAAAATTTTCAAGCCTGCCCAAAGATACCCATTTAGTTTGAAATACATACTACTCAATTCACAGCATTTTAGGGGGAGTTTTCAAGGTACTCTCATTAGCTTGTGTTTAATAGTCATTCTTTACTTATCTTTCCACTCTAAACATTCCCTGCTATGAGACTGGCAACTGCTCTAAGAATGAATATTGCCCTGCTAGAGCCAACAGGGAATATCTGGATCATCTGCTTTACTAGTTGTGTGTACTCCACTTTCACCCTATTTTCCTTCTACCTAAAATTCACCCTGTGTTTTCAATTGATCTTCCTACCTATTTCCTCCCTGAAGGCTCAGATTTGCATCCAGTGAAGTCAGTATGAATGTTATATGAGAAAATTTAAGCCTTTAGACTGTGATTTAACAAGGTACTTAAGCACATGCCTGGCTTAGCACACAAGAACCTTCTTATTGAAAGCAGCAGAAAGATTGCTACTGGCCTAATTGGGAACAAGAGTGATCTATGAACCATTAAGCAGCTGCTGAATTCCACTGTAGCGGTGACTATATTTCAGTGATGTGCTGGGTGTGAGCTCTGTGAACAGTTTATGATGTGCTTGAGATCCTTAAGAATGAAAGCAGCTCTATAACCAACTGCACCCAGCCATGGAATTTACCAGTCTAGACAATACATCTTCTAGTCCACACCCACCAAGAACCTTAAAAAGGAAAAAGGTATTTTACAGAACAAATTGAGAATGATATCTCCCCAAATTTGAGAGTAATCAGTGAAAAATATTTATTAAGATTCTCAATAAGAAATGTAAATTATTTTATATATCTCTCTGTCGTATGCTAGAATAGAATTTTAAAGCACTTCCTTATACACACATATCCATGCATGCAGGATATTTACATACAGGATATTACATGTACATCTCCTTAACCTAGCAGGGCAAGACTAAAAATAATGTTTCCGAGATTGCTCTGATCTTTGTATTCTGATGTTCGAAAAGGGAAGAGATCACCAGCATTTAAAAACAAATACTTGGAAAAAGCGCAAGTGAATTGTCTTACGAAAGCCAGAATATTAGCAAAGACTGATGAATTCACCTACAAACATTATCCTATCTTATTCCTCCAATGTAATGTTTTATATTCCTGTAGGAGATATTTGATATGTAAGTGAGTGTAATATAGTCATAGATATATTGTGCAGTCTGTAGGTAGATGGCTAAGACTTATATGAGGACAAAACAGTGGAGGATTCACTGTATTATGATAGACAGGAAAAGATAATACTCATTTTTGTGTGTTGGTGTGATCCTGCCACTGGCCTTCGTACTTAGGTCAATTTCTAGCCCATTTAAGACTGTGAGATCCACACCCCTCAATTTTCTTTATCTCCTATCCAAACTAAAGCATCACAATCCATCTCATGCCAGGGAAAACTTCTAGTGTACAAAGTCATAGTTCAGTGAAGGGGTTGTATTGCTTTCTTGGGATTGTACTGCCTCTTACCTACTGGAAAACATGAAGCCATGGCAGTGCCAGTGCAGCATCCTGGTCCTCTTCCAGCCCAGTTTGTTCCAAGGGATAGACTGTGACTCCGCGCTGCAAATGCGAGACGTATATCTGAAGCCCGAGCGATGTGAGTCTGACACCAGCTGCTCAAGTGCTGTGGTCAGAGTATACAATAGCATGGCTCCCGGGATGCATTTAAGACAGCTTCGGTGTAAATGTAGAATGGATTAGTTGCTCTCTGATTCCCACTCTGTGCCTCCATCTGAGCTAGGCTTTGGATTAAGTGATTTGGAAATGCTGTCATACTGTTATTGCTGCTGCTTACTCTTAACCTCCTGAAAAGTTGTAGTCTAAACCAGTCTGTGCCTCACTCATCGAAGACTGTTCATGCAACATACCCTAAACTGGTGTTAAAGCACTGAGCAAGAGAGGCTACTGTGCTTTCAGGGGATCACATAAGATACCGTGTCCATAAATAGGCTACTTTACTTAGAAATTTAGCACTCTGTGGTTATTTATCTAAGATCTGTGAACTGTGTTTGGAAAGCAAACCTTCATTTAAAGTTGTAGTTGAGGTCTGTGTGTCATTTATTTTAAATCAACACAGGAAAACAGCTGAAAAGAATTTCTAATTTAAGCTTTTCACTCTAAACTTTTACATTAAGACTTTCAGCCCTTCTTGGCTACCATTTTGGCACCATGACTGATGGCACCTGTAAATACCTCTTGCCACAATGAGATACCTCTATAAGATACCTCCCTGTTTGTGCCTATGGTTACAATAATGTCAATGGCAACTGTGTAAGTAGCCTGAAAAGTTCACTTCTCTTAAAGAGTTTCATATGAGGTGAAAAATCCAACAGCACTAAAAGGCATGCAGACACAGCAATTTCAGAAGCATCATATAAATACTCAGGCAGACTTATTAAAAAGAAGAGGTCTGTGTTATCTTGAGGTGAAACAAAACTCTCCTTTAAAGGGTTACACTTTGAAACCAATAGACACAAATTACTCATTGGTCCAAGAACCTGTATATGGAAACTACTGAAGTACTGCTTCTAATCTGAAAGTCAAGAGCAGGAGAAGAAAAGAAAGATCACTGGCCCCCAAAAAGTATATTGGTTTTGCAGAATGGTTAGACCAAAGAAAGCCACCTGCTAACACTGTTTCGTTATTGGGAACAGCAACAGTAATCAGCTGGGGGAAGCTGTGGTCTCAACTCTAAAGCAGATTTAGTCTTTCTCTTAAAACTCTGCACAAAATGCAAAGTGCTTTAGAGTTGAGGAATTTTTTAAGAACATTTGTCAAAAATTTGGACAGAAAGACATCAACTTACTGCTTGTTGACTTTAAAGGGTACACCTGATATTTGCTTACTGGGTGAAGAAAAGGCTGATATTAAAAGGTTAATTGACTTTACAACTTTATAATTTAGAAGGGATAGGCTATCTGGCACTAAATAAAATATATTTGCATGTGGGGATGGGAAGGCAAAGGGGCTATAAACTCAGAACAATTTCAAGTGTCTGGGCAAAGCACAAGCGAAGTCTAGAGTGTTGCAAACTTACCACAGGTGATGAAGGCAGGTGGGCTCTTCAACTGCCTCAGGAAAACCAGGAGAAATAAGTGTCCTCCTGCATCCTCCCAGTCACCCAAACTGCTCTGAGAAATGCGTTTGCTCATTTCTTCACTTTTCGCAATACACCACCTAGTTAATCCTCCCCTTAGCTCTTCAACCAGCCTTGTATATTTCCAGAGGGTCATAGTTGAGAGCAGCTGGGTATGTTGGATTGTGAGTGCTGAAAATCTGTTGTTTCTCTGGCTTGCCCTCAAATTCTCAGGCTGCCTCTGATCACTATTGTTCAAGTTTTGAGGCAGAATATTTTACTTCTACAGCTTGTCATGTGCTCTTATTTTTAGCTTGTTTGGCTCATTCCTAAAGTGTTTGTTTCTAGTTTAAATAATTTCTTTATAACTGCATCTGTCGGGTTGGGGCTCAGTTCAGGAAAAACAATGACTGGATTTTATTGTTTATGAATTCTCTAAGTGTATGGCTTTGCACAGATAACTAGACAGAGAGTCACAATTTCAAAATGCTATTGCTAGATGACTTAGGCTCTGTTCCAAAAATAATTAGGCACTTAGAAAGCTGAATTTCTATGAAAATCAAGAGTATGTGGGAGACCTTTGACTCGAGATCTAAGGCTTGGAAAATGAATGTATGAGTAGCTGGAATTTTACTCCTGACTGTGATTCAGTAAAGGCCGTCCTGCAACCTACTCATTACAAGTAGTCCCATTAAACTGTTTACCTCACCATGAGTGAACTGGGTTATGACCTCAGTGGGGACAGAAGTAGTGAGTAATTGAAACAGATGGATGGGATGTTAAAAGAAGGAATATTATTATTGTATATGACTGTTATCACAGGGTCACTTTTGTTCCTGTATCATAAGCCTGGTAAATATTATTACTGTTTCAAGTAGCTAATAAAAGCTAAGTTGGCTTGGTATGCTTATATGGCCCCATTTTTCACCTACTTATCACTTTGTTAAAGTGGACTTGGACTTGGACTGAAATTGTTTAATCTGTTCCTATTTCTTTGTGGATATTTTTGTTTGTTTTTCTTTCCGTTTGGATTCTTTGAAACTGTGACATGGAGAAGCTTTGTGGGGTATGAAGATGGGGGTAATACTTTTTTCTTCACCCTAGAAGTGTTTTGCTGGGAAGCCATTTTGATGAGAGGCTTTAGCCCTTACTGTCTTTGAAGCAAGGAATTGAAATTTGGCGAAGGATGGACTTGCTATGTAGAGTCTTTTGCTGTCTGTGCAAAAACGTGGCCAAATCATGTGTGTCTGAAAAGAATCACTTTCTACAAGCTGAGACATTGTTAAAGATCAGGGGAATCAGTTCCCTGTCTTGACAGAAGAGACCCCAATACAATTGTGAACAAGGACACCCATTACCAGAGCTGCAGGCTTGAGCAAGACTTCTGTAGAACTGGTTTCTTGCTCCCTGGGACTGTGGTGGTGGTAGTCACAGCAAATTAGAAGAGATCAATTGTCTCTTCTGTCAGAGTTCCCTTTGCTGATGCCACCACTGGGATTGAGTCCAGCTGAACCAAGGGTATGAGCGGAGATAAGAATAAACTGTGTAATACCTCTGTCAGAAGGAATGGATGAATTTCAGTAAGAAGTCTTAAATGTGAGAATATTGAAACTACATTGGAGATTCATCCAGAAATCAATCTGGTTGCCAAAATCAGTGTCCACTTTGCATCAAACCCCCTAAATTAATTTTTGCCATCATATTTAATTTTCCATCCTAGTGTGTGACATAGTACTTTACAAACTAAAACATCTTCCAGGTGAAAAGTGTCTCCTTTTTACAGCACAGTTCAGTGTTAATCTCTTGAGAGTGAAAGAAGAGAATGGACACCTACCTTTCAGAATTTCAGGGAAAACCTGATCTGCAGCATTTGCTTCTCTTAGCTGGAGCTTTGCCAGCTCATCAAAGCTAATATCCCTTCTTCTGCAAGTAAATGCCAAGGGATCTTTAATTAGCTAAAATGATCAGCAGTCAGGACCTTGATTTTTCACTTAATCTGAAAATAGCACAGTGTCCCTTAGCACATTGCTAGAACATTGGTACCATACCAACAGAGAGAATATAGTGCCAATTACTAAATCATACACTTCCTGCAGCTTCTTCTACATTTCAGGTTGAGTTCATCTCAACAGCTGGAGAAGGACATTGTAGTTTCTATAGCTTGTGGTAAGGGAATTCATGCTTTCTTCAGAAATTATTTTGTAGAGCTATTTCAGAGCTTTTGGGTTGTTCACTCGAATGTTAATACAGCAAACTCTAGTGGTCAGTATGGTGCAGTGGAAAGGAGGGAAAAAGGTAATCCCAACCTATCTTGCGCTATGATTTATTAACATCTACAGGTGAAACTCAGACTCTACCTTTTGTGCTGTTCTTGTACACCGCTGTCTGCTGTTCTTGGTATAACTCTTTAAACTAACACCTGTACCAATGGCAAATAAAGGCCGAGCAAGATGTTTGCAGAAGACTCAGTAAGGTGTTCTAAAATCTCTGCAAGCAGTCGTAGGACCACTGTACTAGAAACCTGTATGAGTGTGACTGCAGCAGTGCTCCATTTCCACAACTCCCAAGAATAAACGGAAAAGATTCAGCTTTGCAGATCACCTCATCCTTGCTTTGGGCAATAAGTCAAAATTAAAAGAATTTCTCAACTTCAAAGTATGCTTTGATATATCTCTCCTCTTCAGGTACTCATCAGTGGGTCACAGTAACATGGCAAATGCTGGGATGAGTACTCCTTAAAACAGCTAATTACTGTGTCCTGCAGGAAAGACATCCCAGTGTCAGAGAAGGCTGTAGAGTGGGTGCAGCAGGGAGCAGAATGCTGTGATGGAATTGGACACAATGGGCACACACTGCCAAGGGCCAGCTTCATGGCTTTCCACAAAGACTTGTGACCCATTTTAGCAGAGTTCTGTTTGGTTTTCATTTTTACTGGCAGTGGTAAAATGAAAAAAGAAAAGAAGGCTATAATGAAAGCCAAATATTCTGGTATAAATAAGTATAGTTCTGTCCAAGTCAACAGAGTGAGACTGGCTTAATTCAGAGCTAGACATCTATATAGATGTAAAGTAACTCTCTCCACACTTATAACATGTGTCTTGGAAGAAACAGCAGTAGGATGTCATGTCACTGTTAACTAGAGACTGAATGTGATGGCTCCATAGCTATCTTTTAGTTCCTTATATTCCCAACCTGGACAGTGCAAGGCCAGCTGGGGAAGGGCGGAGTGTGGGGAGGGTGGGGGCTGATACAGTTTCCACCTATTTTACTGGTTAGCAGCTTGTCTTTGTTCTCATTGGCACTACAGTGCAGGGACTGTTTTCTATGGTTTCTGACTTCCAGTACAGGTGTGACCAACCACAGATTTCAATTTCTTAATGCTTGTGCTCCACCCTTAACAATTTTGTCCCATGGAATCCCACTTGTACCAGTAAAGTTTTTTCTAAGGATATCCTGAAGCCTCAAAGCACCGTTGTGAGTAGAAGAGGAAAATATTTTTATGCCCAGTTTGCAGACAGAGAAATAGAATTTCTTAAATTACTTCCTCAACATCATTAGAAAACATGAAGAATGAGCTAGAATGAGAGCATAAATGTTTTTGACTTTATTTCCATGTATTTATTTCCATGCTTCTCTTTCTTTCAAGAGACTCTACATTACAATTAATTTAACAACGAATATGATTAAAGTAAGTGGTTCAGTTAATGTTTTCTGGAACGTTATATATAGAGACTGCTTTCAAGTAAGAGTCAACTTTTTCTTTCTCTTTTCTTCTTTTTTTTTTCCCTGCAGTAAGCCTCCGTTTCCTGCTTTCTTTGAAAAATTGTACTACGAATTATCAAGTGGTCACATATTTTAGCATTCAGCTGGAGCTGCCAAACCTGCAAAATGTGTTGCTCTTTAAAGTAATATCTTGCGTGTT